CTGCTGGATAGGATATTTTCGAAAAATCTTTCGCAATATAGCGCACTTATTTGTCAGATAGCGAGGTCTGCGGTTTTCTGAATGAGGTACACTGCTAATGATATGCAGTCGCCACTAAGCGTATATTTAACTGTAGATGTGGGTCGTTTCTCATAAGATTCAATTCTTCGAAGTCTAGACTATACCGCATTACGTTTTTTACGAGTAAATACAACATTTCTACTCGCATTCACAAGAGTTGCTCTTCGAATGAAGTCTTCGGAAAAGAAATCCTTCAAAAAGTGTCAAATACTCTGATGAAACCGCGGGGTGCTTTCGGGTAAATTCTCCACCACCTTGCTTCAATTTCTTGCTGCATCGCCCCCTTCGATCTAGGAGGCCCACTGTAATCCACAAACGATGTAAGAATTCCTTAACATGAACGGTGAGCCTGAGAACATCACAACCACCCAGGACTAACCTTAAGGTTAGTCCACTTATAGTTTTCGATTTATTGACTACTGTCAGTAGTCTCTGTAGGCCCAATTTATACAGCAGACCCTGTGTATGATTGCTGTGAGAGAACAATCACATGACTAGCCACACACAGGCCCAAAAAACTCGGCTGCTAGTGCGGGTTAGCCACAGATTACTTCAACGTCATGGAGGAGCAAACGTTAGAAAGCTATTCTATCTGTAGTTGGTGATAAATATGCTAAATCCGGCAGATCAGGAGGGCTCACCACGGTTGCAATCCACGATTACATAGGGTAAACGTTTATTTCGGATAGGTACAAGCCTAAAGGGTCATCATGCTTACCCACCAGTCAAGTTAAGACATCGAAGAAATCCATTCTGAGGACTAGAGTGCAATTATGGAAACACTATGACTGTTACGGACAGCATTTGACGTATTACTATGTTCGTTTTAAAACTCGTATGATGAAGGCCAAGAAACAAGGTCTAGTTCACTTATGAAATGAACTTTTTTCGTATGATAACATTGCAAAAAGATATGGCCAGCTTCCATTGACGGAAATTAGTCAGTCTGTAGCTAGTCAGGAGACTGGTTCACTACCGCCACAGCATGTTATGCGCAATCCAATCATCGGTATGTCTTAATGAGGGACACTGGTACTAGCAAGCGTTCTATAGACGCATTGAAGCATCGGTTTCATGCTGTCTA